GTATCAGTTCCCTAACCCTAACAATAACCCTAACAATAACCCTTATACTAACGCTAATCTGTACCCCGATAAGTACCCTAAGGCTAACCCATTACCGTACCCTAACCTGTACCTAAACCATACCCAATCCTTAACCCTTACCCTTACCCTAATCCTTACCCTACCCCACACACTATTCCTAACCTGTACACCAAAACTAACCCATACTCTAAACCGTACCCTAACCTGTACCCTAAACTGTACCCATTCCCTAACCCAAACCCTTACCCTAACTCATATGCTAATCCTAATCCATACACTAACACTACTGTGTACCCTAACACGTACCCAAGACCTAACCCTTTGTCATACCCTAACCTGTACGCTAAACCATAACCGTTCCCTAAACCTAACTCTAACCCTTACTCTTATTCTAACATATACCCTAATCCTAACCCGTACACTAACCCGTACCCTAACCCTATCCCGTTGTCATACCCTAACCTGTACCCTAAGCCGCACTTGTTCCCTAACCCTTACTCTAAACATAACCCTTACACTAACTCGTACCCTAATCCTAACCCATACGCTAACACTAACCCATACCCTAAAATGTACCCTAACCCATTGTCGTACCCTCAACTGTACCCTAAACAGTACCCGATCCCTAACCCTTACCCTAACCGTACACTAATCCTAAACCGTACACTAACACGTAACCTAACCTTAACCTGTTGTCGTGTCCTAACCCGTACCCTAAAGTGTACCCGTTCACTAACCCTAACGCTAACCCTAACCTGCTGTCATACCCTAACCCTCACCCTTAACCTAACCCTTACCTTAACCCGTACCCTAATCCTAAACCGTACACTAACACTAACCTATACCATAACACATACCCTAACTCGTCGTACACTAACCTGTACCCTAAACCGTACCCTAATCCTAACCCATATGCTAACACTAACCCTTACCCTAACCCAAACCCATTGTTGTACCCCAAGCTGTACCCTAAACTGTACCCATTCCCTAACCCTAACGTGAACCCTAAACCTTACGCTAACCCGTATCCTCACCCTAAACTGTACACTAACACTAACCCATACCCTAACATGTACACTAACCCTAACCCATTGTCGTACCCTAACTTGTACCCTAAACCGTACCCATTCCCTAAAACTAACCCTAACTCTAACCCTTACACTAAGCCTTACCTTAACTTTACCCTAATCCTAAGACGTACCCTAACCCTAACACATTGTCACACCCTTACCTGTATCCAAACTATACCCATTCCCTAGTCCTAACCCTAATCCTAACCCTTACCCTAACCCTAACACGTACCCTAAACCTAACCAGTTGTACGCTAAACTGTACCGTAATCCTAACCCATACACTAACGCTAATCTGTACCCTAACATGTACCCTAAGCCTAACCCATTGTCACACCCTAACTGTACCTGTACCCTAACCCTAACACTAACTCTAACCCATACTCTAATCCTAGCTCATAAACCAAAACTAACCCATACCCTAAGATGTACCCTAACCCATTGTCATAACCTAACCTTTACCCTAAACCATACCCATTTCCTAAACTTAACCATTACCCTATCCCTTACTCTAACCGTACCCTAACCTAACCTGTACACTAACACTAATCCGTACCCTAACATGTACCCTAAGCGTAACCCTTTGTCGTACCCTAACCCGTACCCTAAACCGTACCCATTCCCTAACCCGTACCCTAATCCTAACCGTACACTAACACTAACCCTTACCTTAACACATACCCTAACCCTACTCCCTTGTTATACCGTAAACTGCACTCTAAACCGTTTCCATTCCCTAAACCGAACCTTAATCCTAAATCTAATCCTTACTCTAACACTTACCCTAAGCTAAACCGTACCTTAACACGTACCCTAATTCAAACCCGTTTTCGTACTCTAACCTGTACACTAAACCATACCCTTTCCCTATCTATAACCGTAACCCTTACCCTAACCCCTACCCTAATCCTAAACCGTACACTAACACTAACCCATACCCTAACCCTAACACGTTGTCATACCCTAACCTGTACCCTTAACTGTACACGTTCCCTAACCCTAACCCGTACCCAAATCCTAACCCAAACACTAAAACTAACCCATACCCTAACACGTACCCTAACCCTAATCTGTTGTCATACCCTAACCTGCACCCTAAACCGTACCCATTCCCTAACCCGTACACTAACACTAAGCCTTACCTTAGCACGTACCCTAACCCTAAACCGTTTTTGTACCCTAACCTGTACCCGAAACCGTACCGTTGCCTACCCATAAACCTAACCCTTACCCCAACCCGTACCCTAACACTAATCTGTGCCCTAACCCGTTGTCATAACCTTACCTGTACTGTAAACCATACCTGTTCCCTAACCGTAACTCTAACAATAATCCTTACCCTAACCTTACTCCTATCCTCATGTGTACACTAATACTAATCCGTACCCTAACCCAAACCCGTTGTCATACCCTAACCTGTACCCTACACCATTTGCGTACCCTAGCCCTAACCCTTTCCTTAACCATACCCTAATCCTAACCCATAC